GTGCTCCCACGGTCAGTCGTTAATGAACACATTAACCTCTTGGTTCTCTTGGAGCACCTGCGTGAATTAGTTCTGTACGTTGGTGCCCTGATTCTCATTCCCAGTGTTACCAGTGTTGGGGACCAAAGCCATCAGAGCTACCTGCGGCTGATAACCTGAAGTTTCAGGTATGACAGCTACCAGCAGCTACAATCCGTTAAGTCAAGCCTCCGGAGCACTCTGGGGACTTGAGCCCAGGTAAGTCGCGTAGAGAACAGCTAAAGGGCAACAAAAGTACAGTTGGAGGCAGGGTAAAATCTACAGGCACTTCAACAGTGCGAATAGCCATGGAAGCGGGGATGGAACCCTTGACAAGCGCAGACACGAAGACACTGGTGCTATCAGCACCATAGACAGTTTATCTAGAAACAGTGGCAGAATAAATTAGTTGCGAGACTCTATTGGAGCATCCGGAACGGGCGTGTTCGGAAAACAACCTTTGGCAGCCCTTAGTAGTTGAGAATGGCCCTCAAATGATTGAGATGCTTGCGCAAGAATAGGAAGCACCAATTGGAGCGTTTCAACATCTGGCGGAATGAATCTGCTGGCTTATGAGCCAATGTAACGTGCATCACAAAGCTCCGAAAGCCCAAACCCTATACCCTAAGCCCAATACCCTAAACCTAATACCCTGAACTATACCCTAAACCCCAAACCCTGTAGCCTAAACCCTAAACCCTAAACCCCCAAACCCCTAAACCCGAAACCCGGCGGCCCAAATCATGAAGCCTGGAACTGTCGTGCCGAGATCTCATCCGGAGCCACACCCTGTCAAGGAAGCTCCCCAGGGCTTCATCTTGAAGGAACCCTTAAAAGGATCCCGTATAAAAAAAAACTGCTAGTTAAATCCCCCTCAGGGGGGGGGGCTGAAGGAAGGCTTAGGGTTTAAGTTTTAGGGTCAGCTGTGGAGTTTAGGATGCATGGCTTCGGATCTCTTTCTAAGGGCTGCTCTTCGAGCTGTTCTCTTACTGGAGGCGCGAGACTTGGTTTTGGTAAGTTCCGATATCTTTGCCGTCCTCCGGCTCTCATGGCTCGGGTTCAAAGGCTCGGGTGGAAGGGTTTAGGGTTTAGGGTTTCAGGTAGAGGGAATTTTGGGTTATGGGTATGCCTCGCAAGCTTCTGAACATACAACCTAAACCCTAAACCCTAAACCCTAAACTCCTAAACCCTAAACTCCTAAACCCTAAACTCCTAAACCCTAGACTCTAAACCCTAGACCCTAAACCCTAGACCCTAAACCCTAAACTCCTAAACCCAAGAGCTGGAGAGGAGCCTGTGGCTGCGATCGCCGCCGAGGGGCCTCAGGACCTGGGCCCAAAGATTCTGAGGGTTTCGGCTTGATTCGGAAGGTGAGGGTTTAGGGTTTAGGGTTTTAGGGTTTAGGGTTTTCGGTTTGATTCGGAAGTTGGAGGAGAAAAAAGCTACAATACGGCTGATGACATAAATCCTGAGCACTACCTTAAGGACCCTAAACTATGGGATTTATGGTATATATTCCTTATTATGGGTTACTGCTAAGGATGTAGATCATCCACCGTAACACCTGGTTTGGCCATCATTGTTTCATACGTGCGACTATGCCTTCCTGCGGACCTCCAAGTCAGGTCTCGGGTTCGGGGTGCGAGGGTGCCGGAATTCTGCTATGCTCTCTTTGTACAGTAGGGTCTTTGGGGTGTTTGAGGCTCACTAAGGGATTAAGATGGTGAGGAGGTTTTGGAAACAACGGTTTGCAAGATTGCTCAAGACTCCACACCGCGATCTCCCGACAGCTTTGGGACGACAGCGACTGCATAGATCCCTTCAGCGCCGCCCTTTGCAAGCATCATGGCTGACTCGCTAAGTTCACAGCAAACCACCGCAAGTCTCGGGCTCTAACCCTAAACCCTATGTAAGCCCTAAACCCTAAACGTTAAACCTTGTATAAGCCCTACACCCTAAACGCTATGTAAGCCCGAAACCAAACCCAAACCCCTAAACCCTAAACCCTATATAAGCCCTAAACCCTAAACGCTAAACGTTATATAAGCCCTACACCCTAAACCCTATATAAGCCCTATAAACCCTGAACCCTACAAAAGCCCTAAACTCTGAGAACTCCCAGACTCTGCCGAAGCCAGGGCCGGAGCTCACCGTCCGAGGAGCGGCGATAGAGCAAAAGTCACGGACCTCGTTTGGAGGAAGGCTGCTGGTGTCGAACCCACAGGGGTTTAGGGTTTAGGGTTTAGGGTTTGGGGTTTGGGGTTTAGGGTTTGGGGTTAGGGGTTAGGGTTTTGGGGTTTAGGTTTAGGGTTAGGGTTTAGGGTTTAGGGTTTAGGGACACTAATGTAGGGACCTGATTAAGAAACCCTGGGCCTTTATTAGGGTTCTTCATATGAACCCGAATATATTGGGGATGTAGGGCCAGGGTTTCTTAATCAGGTTCCGACATTACCCTTGACATGTCGCATCCATGACGACACTGATATAGGAGCCTTAGTCAGTAGAAGCTGCAGCCAAAATCCGCACACATCGTAAAACCTCCTCGTGCCCAAAGGTGTAGGCACAGGGTACAATGTACACGACACCGGCAACCTGTCCCGTGACTCAGAACGGTAACATGGCTTTCTTTACAATCCCAACACATCCCGCAGCAACCTTCTGAGGCTGGCGCCAACTTACCACTTTGCCCAAGCCTGTCCACACCGAACTTACAAAGTTGCATCCTGTCTGTCTTCATAAGCTACTGCCGGCGAGCACGCGGGCCCAAAGTTCAAAACCAGCCAGAAACTGTGGCGACAGCAACATCAACGATCCCACATCGAGCCCAACAAGTGCGTGGCAAGATCGGCGTCGAGGGTGAGTGCACATGTAGCATGCGGAGGTTTTACAGAGGCATGCAACGTATTCATCGCCGTGACGGTTTTTTGGTTCAAGCAACCGTGGGTCTGATGATGATGATGATGATTCTGCAGTTGCATGTTTCGTGGCTTTCACCGGAATTTCCGGCGTTTTCGGGCCGATGCATGCAATGTATTCAGCATGGTGATGATTTTATGGTTGCAGCAACCATGGGTCTCATGATAATGATTCTGTAGTTTAATGTATGTCATCATCCCCCCATCACCCCTCACTCCACCCCCCCAGTAACCCAAGCACGAACAACTACCTTGGAGAGTTTGTGGTGGAATAAGCTTAAACCATGTGAATAAGATAATCTACGCTCGAGACTCTGTTGTAAAACGTGCTAAGACCACACATCTAAGGCCGCAAGGTGAGGGAAAGCGCAACGTCAGATATACGACCCCCAGCCTACTAGTAGTAGCAGTAGTAGTAGT